AAAGAAAGCAGAAACTGATTTTGGGAGGCGGTTAGGTGAAGTTAGGTTTGGTCAGGTTGGATTGGTCAGAGGGAAGGTACAGAGATAACAGAAAAGTAGGTACAGAGATAACAGGAAAGTACTAAAAGGCATTTTTTTAATGTAACCCTTTTGACCTGTCTGCAGGATAGTTGAGATATGTTTGACACATTTGGTGCCCATGAGCATTGAAAAGCTGAAAACCCTTAATTTTTGAACCCTGGAGGCCTATGAGTGGGAAAATTCACTAACAGTGAGACCCCCACATGCAGACACCTCAACATACAGACAATTCAATAGAGGGACATTTATTTTCCAATAAAAAATGCATTTACAAGGCATGACATGATGTGGACACTGACTCAACATGCAGACATTGCATGATTAAATTGCAATTGAGTTTCAGGACAATTGACTTTTATCAAGCTGAATTGCAAGAAACAGATATTTCCAACCCAAAGATTTATAGGCAAGAAAAATTATTTTGCATTTCTCGCATCATTTTTCCAACCATTCAGCTAATTGAAAAAAAATTACTTCCAGCACAGAGGGACTTCCTTCTGTCTTTTTGAATTGAGTGTTATTTTTACAGACGCCAACATTTCAATATACTATATACAGAGGTACAGTATTCAATGATCCATACATGTTCTTATTTTATTGAGTTGAAAGATATTGACTGTATTAATTTACACTGGCAAAAAGAAATTTTCATGGAATTCTGCTGAATATGTCTTCCATAAAACATCAATTAAATTTTTATTATGTAAGTTCAAAGGAAAATGAGACTAGACTTGGAGGGATTTTGACTTGGGGACACTCTTGAATTTTGATGCACCAATTATGTCCTCATACTGGGGTTTAACTGTATTTTTCTCTTCAACTAGAATAAAAGGCACATTTGAAACCATTATATTCTATCAAAATGAGTGAAACCATTCAAATCAGCACTCTTCACAAGGAAAGCGTGTCAGTGAACATTGGGATGATACTGTATTGTATTTTAATGAATAGAAAAAATTATTAAAAATTTGTGCGACGTTTTTCTTCGGGCATAAATAAATGAATCTGAAATCTTCAACATACTCTGATCCGTTATACAATACGTAAATTGATTGCCAAGATGAAAAGAGGCAAACTAATTCACGATTGCAAAAAAAATCATGCTGACTATATATGGTGGCATCGCAAACAGGATTGCAATTTTAATAACAATGTAAGAAAAACTTTCTTCTGCTACATCATGCGGAACAAATCTTCCTATCGCAATCCACTCGTATCTCAAACTAATTAATAATGTCATCACCTGGAAGACCAGTAGAAGGAGCAAATTCAGGACACATGGCATCAACGTCGATACTTAGGTGGATGTGAGACCTGTTTATGTTTCATCAATCAAAGTAGAAGTTATTTCTGAAATTCGAAACACGAATAATTTAAATCAATAATATGTTTCGAGCAAACCTGAGTTCGGGGTTGATCCTCATCAGCGCTTGTCTGATGACTTCCTTGACGCCAATATCATCAATGGACTGCATGTTATATTCCAAAATGCCCAAATGATTCAGTGCAACCCTGATATCACATNCACATTCTGCTGAAACTGATTTTGGGAGGGGGTTAGGTAAAGTTAGGTTAGGTCAGGTTATGTTAGTTACAAATATCTTTCAATTAACATAACCTGACCTAACCTAATTTATGCTGAATTAACAAGACAAAGAAAAATGGGTACTGAGATAACAGCAAAGTACCAGAAATTGAGCTGTGACAATGAAAAAAGCACCAAATAAAAGTTTGTTCAATTCTTGTTGAAATGGTATGTAGTTTTATGGTTTCAAGTGAGGGGTTTGAAGGGGATACAAAAACCATTTGAAGGAAAACTTTCAGAAAAAAGTTGTCAAGCAACTTTTTCCACTATAAGCCGCTGGTCTGGAGAGCTGTTTGCATGAATAAAGAAATGCCGGATGCAATAATTTAAGCAGAAACTTCATGCATGGTGTCTTGTAGAGCCTGCACACATTCCCAAAATTCAGAAAGAGGGGGTGAAAAGGGAGAAGGAACTTGGCAAGACAGGAAGCTGATGTAGGGCTCCTGTTATTCATGCGTCCTGCTTGCTGGGTGCACCTTTCAGCTCCCAATGACCAGCAACTGCATGTAACATTTTTTCTGGATGTCCTGATTGCTCAAAATCAGTTAATTCAAAATTATTTTAACTTAAAATCAGTTTCAGCAATCCAGTCATCCAGAAAAAATTGCATGCAGTCGGGTCACTGGGATCCATGAGGCCAGCCCCCAGCAACACGCATGCAGGGCAGAAGCCCTGCAGCATCCTATCTTGCCGATTTCCTTCCCCCTTGTCACCCCGTCTTTCTGAATTTTGGGAACATGTGCAGGCTCTACAAGACACCATGAAGTTTCTGTTTAAATTATTGCATCCTGCATTTCCTTATTCATACAAACAGCTCTCCAGACCAGAAGCTCAGTGGAGAAAGTTGCCTGACAAACTTTTTTCTGAAAGTTTTCCCTAAAATTGTATTTGTAGCCATTCTTGGCACTTAAAAGCATATAGCTACATACCATTTGAAAGAGAATTGAACAAGCTTTTATTTGGTGCTTTTTACATTATTGTCACAGCTCAATTTCTTACCAAGCTATTCCAAGTCAAAAAGTGGTTCACTTTTTTTGGCCCACTCTGTACTCACCGTTCCCAAGGTTCCACATCTCGCAGTCCAATGTAAGCCAAATCTTTACAAGATATCCTGTAGGAGAGAAAATATTTCTTAAATACAGAAATGAAAATTATTGCTTGTTCTTTTTCCTGATCTTTGCCACAATTTTAGAAGCTGCCAAACATTCATATAGCCATGACAAATATGACTGAATATCTGCTGATGATACTGTGATTTTGTTTCAATTTCTTCAAAACTCATTTTAAGAAATTAAATTTAATAGCTACTATATGGCAGATTGATGTTTTCTTGTTGACATCAGTGACAAAGTACAGTCATACCTCTCTATACTCTTTAATTTTGATTTCAATGGACCATACAATTTTTGACTTAAGGAGGTTTGGACTTTTGGGAGGTTTTGAATTATAAAGGTAACAGCTACAGTAAGAAGTCATTTTTCTGGGAAACTTGGAAAAATTGCCCAAAATCGTAAATGGTGATATTCTGGTGCTTATAAATGGCTTCTTAAATGAGTTGAAAGGATGCTGAACTTGGAGGCAGGGGTTCAATTGCCCAATTCACTTCTTTTGAAACACATAAATTTATGTTTTCATTGCTTTTTTCTTTCTTTGGTCAAGAAAATACTGGTCAACAGGCCACAGAAAATTTGACTTATGGAGGTTTGAGGGGAAAAGCCTTCAACTTAAGCAGGTTTTTAATGTATTGCTTCTAAGGGGATTCTGATGGGGACCTGAAAATATTTTACTTAGAAGGGTATTTGAGTTAGGGAGGTTTGAGTTGTAGAGGTTCACCAGTATTATAAATATACTTTAAATAGGGCCTTATTTTATAAAAACTACATGAAATTGAGTATATGGTCACCTTGTATAAGTCACACACCTAAGATTTTTTCCTACAATGTTGAAAAAAAGTATTTCTGCATAAGATGCACACTGTATATAGTTGCATCAGAAACGTCTGGAAGTCCATACCTAATCAATTAACAGAACTCAATTTTTGGCACTATTTTAATTGATCATTCCATTTATTGCATGAAAAATGCATTGAAATTGGTGGAGGGTATGTTGAACAGCACAGAAGTGTTGCCAAATGATGAAACTACAGTACAGCATATTGTATGTGAGTGATTTTTTTTAGTTGTTGAAACTCTGTTGGATCTGTTTCAAAATGTCTCAAAACTTTTGAACCAATTTAACCCTCATATTCCCACCCGCAGACAAAATAAAAGGGCAAGATGGTCTCACACAGGCTCCAGCCAGGCCAGGGGTTCCAAGCCATCCAGCTGGAAGTCAATGTACTTTCTAAATTCGCCGCACAGCAGCGACACTGGCATTCCGTCCAGTGTGTGACGTCATCGGGGTATTGATGTCGGCGTGGGCGTCCACGTAGACGACGGCCAGGTCGTCGACGACGGTCGTCGCGTGTCCATGCACAGTGCCGACGGCGATGCTGTGATCGCCGCCCAACACAATGGTCAATTTGTTCTCACGCAAAGACTGCTGAACTCGCTGCGACATCTATACACGAATAAGTTCACTGCAGTTTCACATACTGACGTTACTGTACATTCGAACCGCCTGGATAAGTTGACAAAATTATTCTGTGTCATTATTGGCTGTTTAATGTGTCCATCAAAAAAGCTAAAATAATGGAAAAATTAAGTACTGTATACAGTATAGAGCAATATGAAATGAAATTTGCATTCTTCTAAAAGAATATCAGAATAACCTCCCTGAGATACATATATTATATCTAGCGAATGTTACTATGAAATAAATTACAGTGAGACCCTGAGATGCTGACATAATTTGTGCATCAAGAGTGTCCCTAAGTTGAATTGTTCCTAAGTCAAGTCTTGTTTTCCCATAGACTTACATTATATAATTTTTAATTGGCATTTTATTGAAGAAATATTCTGCAGAATTCCATGAAAAAATTGTTTGCCACTTGAATTTGATTCAGTGAATATATTTTCTACTCAATAAGAACATGAAAAAATAATTATTAAAATTGGCAAAGACTAAGGTAAACAACCCTGAAGTGTTACCAAATGATGGGGCTATGCAAGTACAATTTTTCTTTGGAATGTTTGAATCTCCATTGGATCTATGTCAAAAAGTCTCAAAACTTATGAAACAACCCTCCAGGCAATTTATTTTCCGCTAGCTTTAATCAAGAAATGTCGTTTTCCGAATTTAATTTAAGCAAAAAGCATTATAATTTCCGGAACTTTCAAATACAGGTGAATGTACTTTTCTTTTTCTTCAGAAATTTTATCAATGGGAAGCATGCTGACCTGAGGCTGAATTATCTGAAGGACAATCAGCAATCAAACATCCGATTTTATTGTAATATTTTGTTTTGCTTCGACGAGGCTTAATTTTTCCCCTCATTTACGCATTACTTCTTTAAACAAAAAATAACATTTTCCGGACCTCAATCAGGAAATTCTCAAATTAATTCATGACCACGAAATGAACAATCTTTGATGCTATATACTGGATTCCAAAACGTTTAGTGAGTTTCAAACTCAAGAAAAGTAAATGTTCGAAAGCATTCGGGAAGTCGCTTTCAGTTGAATTATCGGCCAAGAGTTTCATCCATTCTCTTTCATTGTATTTTTATCTTGCGACATTTTTTTCATTTTCGATAAATTTCTGATGAAATCGAACTAAATAGATTTCACTTAAATTATATGCTGCTAACTAATACAGTATAGTCACACAGATGACAGTCTTCGATAAATATTGAAAATTACTTTTGACTTTGATTTCGTTATTATAAGGAACTAGGTTTCAATCTCTGACGAGAAATGGTAAAATGCTCACCTCTTTCATGTAGCTTCCGATGATATGGACGTTATTAATCCGCGTCTTCGCCAATTTCGGCTGAATGTTTTGTAAATCCTCAACTCTCAAGTCCCCGTAATCCTTGATTTCATGTCCTAAGAAAAATAATAGAAGTTCAATTTTAAATTATAAGACGCATTTATATACCCATGATTGTTTCTTTATAAGTCCAAGTTTATAAGCCCAAGTTTTGTATAGGAATTCCAGTTCCGAGTTATTTTATAGAAAAATTCAGCAAGGAATAAGTCCAACATCGAGGTTTTCCCCCAAAAAATGGATAATACAGTGAGTTATATTCTGTCGTTATACTGTATTTTGGCAAATAATAACACGAAAGATTAAATTCATCAAAAATCAAGCTGAAAATGTTTGAAAGGTTTTGTCAGTATTCCCGTCCATCATATCTTGAAAAAAAATGCCAGATTGAAAATATATAGCAACAAAAAAATAGATCAAAAGTCTGACATCCCGTTCACCCAAAGAAACCCCTGAAACTTTGTACATTGTCTTTAAGAAGGAATCAATAAAGACACAGATCCGCTCAGTTGTTAGGACGCAAATTTGCCCTCGGAAATTGTAATCGCGAAAATATTTATTATATCAAAATGTATGCAGGACCGGCAGGGGAAAAAAGATAGACGTGAAAAGTTTCACTTAATTTACCTAAGGCCCTGATGGCTGCCTCCAAAAATCCACCGTGTCGAATAGCATGAGGTCCATGATCGGTACCAACTCGCCTCTGCAAAAAAATAATTAAAAATAAATAAAATTTTGAGGATGAGGATGAAAAGTTCTGAAATGCATTCACAAAAGTATTGCAATAACCCTAAAGGATTACCGGGGACGGTAGCATTCATTTTTTCTATACAATGTATATTGTGTGATGAATTCCGTTAACTTTGCGTTACTTTTCCATTTCATCTCATTGAAACTTTACACCCAGCAAAGAATGGGGGCGTTGGGCTGGGGACTGCTTTGATATTGGCGTTGGCAACACCGTTGCAGTGCCATTGTCTGAATGGGGCTGATTGCTGCCAATACAGATGGTTCAAAATGTCCCAAGGATTGTATTTCTGAGGCATCAAATTATTAGGAGAATTTAACCAATATAGAGAATAAATACTGTACCAATGCGCACATTGAGCTACTTGCCATGTAGTACACTGCATTTTTAAGGAAACACTATTTTGATTCATACTGTTGATTGGAGAAGTTATTCATCTTGATCTTGACACACATTGAAACCAACTGTGCACCAGATTTTGATGGATTGCTGACACAAATCTATACAGTGACCCCCTGCCTAACAGACCTACTGCGCAAGGGATTTTTGCCTAACAGACCAGCTCTGTAGACAGTCTTCACTCCTGCTCAAGAGACAAAATCCTTCAAACAGACTTCTGTTGGTTTAAAATTAGTGTTGACAATTTAAAGTTTTAATTTTTTGTATAATTGAATTTTGTCTAAAGGACTTTTTGCCTAACAGACTTGTCTGTTGCATGAATTAAGTCCATATAGATGAGGCTTGACTGTATTTGAAGGTCAGAAATGTGAAAGGAGGTTTGAATGGTCATCAATTCAATAGAAGCCCTGAACACAGATGAAATGTCATAACTGATGTTCTCTGCTCAGAAAGTCTTTGGTTTTGATGCCAATGGCCAAAAGAACCTTTGATTGAATGTCTTTGGGGGGAGTTGGGTTGAGTGGGGAGGGGGTTTGGATGCGGGAGTCTTGGTTGTGCCTTGTGAAAGCTGAAAAGTGGCAAATAAAGTGTTCTGTTTATTCATTCATTTATATACAGGTGGTACCTTGGAATTTGATCTCTTGCAATTCAACCATTCCACAATTTGACAGTAAAATTTTCTGGGAGGTTGACTCTCAATTTGACATCTGCTGCGCAATTTGACCAGTAGAGAGACATGAAACAGCATCAAATGCCATGTAGAAAACATGCCATTTGACATTGTCTCACAATTTGACTGATTTGCAATTTGACACTAGTCCAGCAACAGATTAGGTTCAAATTGCAAGGTACCTGGTGTATATATAATTATTGCTTCTTTGATTGCTTGCTCCCCAAAACGTTTGAGTTGGAAAGTTCAAAATCCTCAGCAACTTTCCAATGTAATAGGAAGTTGTAATAAGAATCACCCTGGCCTTGGAAAAATGTATCGCTGCGGGTGTCCTCAATGAAACGAACAACTTGTTGGGTGAAAAACAACCTCATTAAATGTGGGCAAAGCTGTGGCCAAAGTGGCTCACATAGAAAAATTTCCCGCATACGAGTATAACAAAATTTCCAAGACACAACGAGTACTTCAAATCCAATGAAATACAACAGTAAACATTTGAAATTTCAAAATTGAAACAATAATCCATGTAACTTGGGGCAATATTAAAAATAACCAGAAGGTATATTGGCACTGGCTTGCCTTTGGCACTTCTTTTTTTTTTTTTAATCCCGCGTGACGATTATTCTTTCTGGCGCGGATTTTTCGGCTGCCGTTCATTGAATGCTGAAAAGCAGCAAATAAAGTTTTCTGTTCATTCATTCATCCAAGAACCTTTGTAAAAGCAAAATTTATGACAAATTTCTATTTCCTGGCAGAACAGCTTGCTGTGAAACACATTGTTGGCAACAGTTTTTATTTTTTGGTGCATGTTTCTGTCACACTAGGTGTTATAAGCTAGGTTTAAAAAAAAAGCAACAGCCAGTTTTTTTTCTAGCTGTTGAATAAATAAGAGTGCAGTTGGGAAATATAGAATCTCAAATTATACTATATTTTGAACAATTTTTTTACTTCTTTTGATTGGCTTCTGTCACAAGTCAAGGATTTTACTTTGTCTCCAAATCAACCTGAGTCAAACTTTAGGAACTCTAAAAAATAGCCCCTTAAATTTTTTTTTAGAGTTTTTAAAGTTTGACGCAGGTTGGCATGCTGCAGACAAAGTAAAATCTCCCACACCTATAAGACCACACACAAATTTTTATGCTGAGAAAATTGTTCTACACAAGATTGTTTTGAATGAATGAATGAACAGAACACTTTATTTGCCGCTTTTCAGCGTTCACAANATAAGACCACACACAAATTTTTATGCTGAGAAAATTGTTCTACACAAGATTGTTTTGAATGAATGAATGAACAGAACACTTTATTTGCCGCTTTTCAGCGTTCACAAGGTACAATCAAGATTTCCACATCCAAATTAACCCCCTCCCCACCCAACCAAAATCCCCTCAAAGACATTTGATCACTTCAAAGCAGGAAACAAAGCACAATTTGATGACAAAAATAAAAGAAAATACAATCCACAAAATAAAACTGGACATCTGACATGACTGCATACACCCACTCATTTCCTGACATTGAAAATAAAATAGCAATAAAAGTTTATTTAGAGCACAAGGTCCTCAGCTTGTTTCTGTATCAGGTTTAGTTGAATGAACTATTTAGAGAGAAAGATTGTTTTATAGGGAGCTAGTGTTCAACTGTACTATAGAGACCACTACTCCCAGTGAGCATGAAAATCTCCAAAAAATGTCCCAAACTCATCCAAATGAGTTCTACGGACATTTTTTGGAGAACTTCTCCAAAAGAACTGTGCTCTGGCGGACACATTTTGGAGAACTTGTCCACCAAAACACAATTTTTTTCTCTGGCAGACAAGTTTGGAGAACTCGTCCACCAGAGTACAGTTCTCTTGCAGACATGTTCTCCAAACTTGTCCACAAATTTAGGAGAACTGGCGGACAAGTTTGGAGAAATTATACATAAGTTCTTCAAACTTGTCCGCCAATTTTGGATAAACTGCGGATAAGTTTGTAGAACTTATCCGCCAGTTTCTGGCGGATAAGTTCTCCAAACTTGTCTGCAGTTTATCCAAAATTGGCGGACAAGTTTGGTAACATGTGGATTTAGCTTGTGACTTGTCTCCACAAGCTAAATCCACATAAACCAAATGAGATTCCATGAAGGGGTCTGTGGCTGTATGGCTAAGGGGCCAGATGCTCATGCAGGAGTTCCTGGGTTTGATCCCTGGGAGAAATAGGATATTCTTTAAGAGGTGAGATAGGAAAATATAGAACTCTAGATATATATATATATATATATATATATATATACATAGGGTACATTAGATACAGGTGTAATTAGCATGCTAGATATAATAATCTGTAAAATAAAATAGTTGAGTTGATAGTAGGAATAATATAATTTTCCATTAATTACAGGCAAATGGATTCAGCTTGTATAAAATTTAATTTGTAGAGGCAGAGAAGCTGACACTATGAATATTGGGCTGGAAAACTTTTATTCCAATATTATGTTGATTTGAAATATATATACATTTTGGAGGGAACTGGAACAACTTTAGGATAAAAATTGGACATATTGTCTGATTTTTATCCAAAAGCTGTCTCAGTTCCCTCCAAAACTGGTCCTTTTTTGATCCAAAACTTGTCCGTTTTTGATCCAAAAGTCATCCACTTTTGGATGACTTATGGATCAGAATTGGACATGTTGTCCAATTTTCATCCAAAGCAACTATCCGCAACTTGTCCTTTTTTGGCAAGATTCGTGGACAAGTTGCTTTGGATAAAAATTGGACCCAAAATGGACATTTTCCTGCTCACTGGGCTGTACAGTATATCAATTGCAACTTCATTCTACCTGTACATTATGTTCAAAATGACAGCTGAAAAATTATTCAACTAAAGAGATAATTAAGAGAACCTGGCCTCCACGAAAAGCAGCCCCAATGATCCCAACTGTCATGGGACTTGGCTCCATTGAGTGGTACCCAGCATTACCAAATCCATCTCCCAGCACAAGGCCAACATTATTTTGCCGAGCTGATGCTGCCAAAAACCTGGACAGACGCCTAATCATCATCGTTGACATATTTTTGCTCGACGGATGACCCCCGGCATCATTTGCATGAAGAAATTGATCTCATGACGTGGATTCGTCTTCAAGTCACAAGGGATCATGCTCGATGGCTATTGAGTCCCAGAAAACAATTAGAGTAGGAACTTATTGAAGGTCGATTTCATCCTTTAAACGATGAGATAAGGATTAACTTATTCTTTGTACACAGTGGAGGAAATGCAGTCTGTAATGCTCCACTCACAGCATTGATGCAGCAATTATTGGGATGTTGTCATATGTGGTAAAAGTCTGCCATTTTCTGGACAGCTGTATACATATAGAAATAAGCTGACTGTATGAGAGGAGCCTTTCTAAATGGTTCATTATTTCGAGGACATAATAAGTCTAGAAAGAATGACCATAACTCTTTTTTGAGAGCACAACAAACTAAAAAAATAAAAATAAAATAATGATGAGAACATAAACCCAGCATGCATCATCTCTTGCTTTTCCTCAAACTACTGTACAACACATAGCATATTAAAAACCTAACTTGCAACAGAGTCACTGCAGTGGATACTTTTACTGGAACCACTTTATTGATTCTGCTTTTTGTCTCATGCAAACAGTTTTAATTGAGTTACAGTCAACCCCTGCCTAACAGACCTCCTGCCTAAGGGATTTTTTGCCTAACACAGTTTTTCCTTCCTCCCTAATGGACAAAATCCACCCAACAGGCTTCTGTTGGTGTAAAATTAATTGTAAAAAGTAAAAATGTTAATTTTTAAATTATTAAATTTGCACAACAGACTTTTCACATAACAGACTAATGTGTCACACAAATTAAGGCTTTTGTGTGGGGTTTGACTATATTATAAAAACCAACAAAATTTGTGATAGATTTCCTTTCATAGGAACCCAGTGCAGCTGTCCTGGTTTTGGTTCAAGAGTTTTAATTTTCAAGGAACTCCAAGCCCTCAACTAATACTTATTTTACCATTATATATAGTGCCAGGGCATTTTTTGTTGTCAGATTACCAACAACTAGCCTTCAGTATACAGTCAAACAAATATCGCCCTCATTTCATTAAAAGAGAGATTATTAAAAGCCCATGGAGGTCATCCCATTCCAGTAGCTGTGAAGACACTCAGAACCATCCCTATTCCTGTATACATCTTACTCTTTACTCAAATAAATCGCTTATATTACTCCATTACTCACACTTTTCATTGTAAAAAAGTGGAAAACTTCTTGAAGGTGAGATTAAAACCATAAGTCTGAAGTGTATTTCTTCCATCTCATCCTTGTGTTTATAGTTGCTTCTTTTCTGCAACTAAAGATTAAAAAAACTAAAAAATATAACAAAAGTAATAAAAAAGGCACAAATTCAACGCTTATATTTCAAAATGCTGTTTAAAATAAATAATACTAAAATGGTTGTATCGTAGTTACTCAAGTTTCAAGTATCACTCATCCTCCGCTATATTACCTTAATAGAGGTGTACGAGGCGCACCTTACATTTTGCAGATGATGAACATTTTTACAAAAGTGTTACGTTGAATAAATCACACGATCAGGAGTGAACTGATTTCGTTCAGGAATGAAATAACGGAGTTATGACCAGCAGTTAGAAAATTTAATATGCTCTTGTAAAATTCTCTTTGATACTTAGCTCGAAGGGAATTCAGCCTTCGTTTTTTTTTAAATCTGAAATTCAACCATATTGTGTCTGCTGGTTCAACTATGACATGATCTACAAATTTTCCATTTTTGCTAAAACATTTATGCCTGATAAACACGTGCAACTCAAATTTTTAAAATTTCGGTTTTCACAAAGAGGTGTGTTTGCTACTGTATTCAAGAAAATGAAGTATTTGTTATACTGTATTTTAAAAATTTCTCCAATAATTTTATGCCTTCTCAAAGTAACAATGACATGAAGGATGGCAGAAATATTGATCTGGAAGCTGCCATTAAATGAAAGCGCATTTCAACTTTCACATCAGAAAATTAATTATAAAACAGGGAAGGCAAAATGTTAATGTTTATGGATTTACCCGGATGGAGCATCGAAATTTTACAATATTTTGTGCAGTACAAATAAAAAAGATTGTGTATGTTCTGCTGACTGTGCTGAGACTCCGAGAGTAATGAAGTAAGGATCTAAATTACTCAATTTCTGTTCATTATTTTTTTAATTTTTAGTTATACTGTCATTATCATTCTTGAAAATTATATTTGCAGTCAACTGAAATAAAAATCTTACACGTGGATTGGTTTTTGAACAATTTTTTGCACAAAATGTGGGAGTGCGCCATCTCCTTGAGGGTTCGTGATGCTCGACTACTAGCTCGAGTTTACGTGGTACAGTAATTAGTTTTCCTCTTCATAGATGTCGCTTGAGTTTGGCTTCTCAGAAATCCCGTATATACTGCCTGCACAGCATTGAGCAGCGTCAATTTCAAATTTTTTTTATGGATTGTGGTTCCGTTATTAATTAATTTTTTTCACAGGATGGCATTCGAGGATGAATCAACGCCTCGCTATTCCAGGACCTGGAACAAAATATTGGCCCAAGCATCTGGAATCCATGAAACTTCGTTTGCAGAAGTAACGCATTGCTCTGAACCTCAAAACTGTCTTCCCACTCTCGACAGAATATCTCTGATTGCGGATCCGGGTTGCGAAACCCGCCGGTCCGAGTTGCGGATGACGACCAGGTTGCGGAGCGGGGTTTCGAACGTGTCCAATGACCGGAGCAAGTTTCAAATCATGTTGGACGTGCAGCAATTTTGCCCGAATGAGATTTCTGTGAAAACCGTGGACAATTACATCGTGATTGAGGGCAAGCACGAGGAGAAGGAGGATGACCATGGGTACGTTGCCAGGCACTTCGTGCGCCGGTACTTGTTGCCCAAGGGCGTGAGGCCCGAGTCCGTCACTTCCACCATTTCTTGCGATGGCGTCCTCACTGTTGCCGCCCCGAAAGAGGTATACAATATATATACCGTCGAAACTTGTTCAAATCCAATTGCAAAAAGAAGGAAGCTAAACTCGGGATGATTTTTCAAGTCGGGGGAAACCAGCGTGTTTTTTGGAGAAAAAAGGACGAATATCATAGAAAAAATAATTTGGGACTTTCTGGACTTTAAATTGTCAATCTTTAAAGGGACTGACGGGATGCAGAATTTGAAGAAAAGAGTTTATTTGCCCTATTAGTCTTTCATTTCATTTCAAAACAAAAGATCTTGAATTTTTATTGTTTTTCTCTTTCCTGTTACAGTAAAACAGCCAAAAGGTCCCCAGAAAATTTGAGCATCATTTGGAAGATTTTTTGGACATTTTCTGGAGAACTTCGTGCTCACTCAGCAATCTTTTCATATTAATGATCTATGTCTCATTTAATTAAGCGGAGAACTTATTTGGTAAAAAAAAAATTTGGTGTGCAATAATAAGCTGCTTCCTTTTTATTTCCTCAGCACGCCGATTCTGAAATCTCGGCGCTTTAGCTGATTAAATGCCCGATTTTTTTGTATACATGTCGTAATATAAGAATTCAATCGAACTTTCGATCTCGATTTCGCCAAGTCATATTTTTATTTTTATTTTTGTATTCTTTCCCATTGTATTCACGCTTCCCTATTGTAAAAAAAAAAACATAATCGGAAGAATTCATTGTCTTTTTTCTCGTTTCCGTCTCTCTCTATTTTTTTCTTTTCTTTTTATTTTCCAGTCGAGTGGGTCTTGCGAGATCCGCCAAGTGGCCGTGACGCCGGTCAACAAACCAGTGCTTTGCTCCACTTGTCCCACCGGCGTTTGCGGCCTGGAAAGAAAGAGCATTCACGAGGCGCCACGGACGTCGCTGCCCATGTCTCCGGTGTCGCCGAAGGCCGCCGCCACTGGGCCAGATAACCAGCAGCAGCAGCAGCAGCAGCAGCCCTGCATCACCGTGTGTGCGTCGTCTGCTGCTGGTGCTGGCCCCAATGCTGCTCAAATTCACATTTCGCCGTCTGTTGGTGGTGGTGGTGCTGGAAATGCGAGGAAGAGCTAGAAAATGGGGCTGAATGAGGAGATGAATATGATGAAAGGCTGATGCATGGAAAATCAGTGTCGGGGAGAAGGGGGGGGGTTTCTCTTCTTTTTCATGTTTATCGATCAACATGAATTCCCCCCCCCCCCCGTTTGTATTTTGTCGAGATAAATATGGATAGAAATGCATCGTCTTTTCCCAACACGCTCCACTGCTGTTGAAGTCGAGTTCTTTCAGTTATAGCGAATGCGTGTTTTTAATGCTGTATTTTTGAGAAAACAGAAAAATACGTTTTGAGCAAATTATATGTTCTGCTGTTTCTTATATAAGTGAAAGGTGAAAAGAACATCTTGCCTAATAAAAATGAAAATATTATTTTTATATAATATTATTATTATATAAAAATAACTGAAAATGCTACAAAAAATTTATTTCAATCAATGGAACTGGGCCATATTTTTGAGTCGTGAAAAAATTCAAGAGATGTTTTCAAAGCCTTTGCAGAAACTTCTCATTTTTTCAAGTCGATTACCTTTAGCATGTGGAATAATAAACGGAAAGTCCGTACGAATTACAGTATTTGTTTTACTCTTCCTATTATTGTGACCCAAAATTTAACTCCTGAACAGCAGTAATTATAGTTAATTCTTTTTTATTATCAATGAAATCCTATGACATTCGCCATGAAAATCCTAGTGAAGTATTGAATTGAAAATTCTGCCTATTTTAAAATGTATAGCTCTTATTCGATCTCAGATGTGTCGCCATAGTACTTTCATGTACCTTTAAACTTTGTAACTTGAAAGATCTTCCACGTGAGCTCCTTTTGGCTTTGTTAACGACTTTCGACATTGTAATCTTTTAACAAAAAAATCCACGCATTGCTCCTATAAATGTCAAGATCTCGTGAAAATATTTCAAGATGAAGCTTTTTAAGCCGGCCTTCATTAAATAACGACGCGTTGCGTTTTTTATTCAATTTATTTTCAAAAATACGCAGGAATAGAACATCCGTCAACTCATCACAAGAAAATATACCAGTATAATCGTGATAAGGAAGACCTCTTGAAGCCGACTGTCGAGGGTTTCATTGGTCATCGTGATTCACCCTGAGAATATTGACCAAAGCTCAACTTCAAAACTTTTCAATCAGCTTCCAAAAATAAAAGCCTTTCAACCATTTTCTTCGCTATGAGACAACGTATAATAAAGCCATGATGTTTCATTTGAGAAAATATTATTGCGCTGTTATTCATAAAATAAATAATCATGTGAAGGAAGTCTCATTTCTCTGTATTGGGCTGAGCCCAGTTGGGTTCAGGTTGAACACCAGGGGTCCGTAGCAGTTCATCAACAAGTTCAACACGAGTATGCAGATCAGGTTCATGATCAAACCTGTGCCTCCCTAAAGAATAAGAATGGTCATGAAATGATGCCTCATCACATTCTACACATAGAGCTTGCATTATATGCACTTACCATGATGTGAGGTTTCGAGTGCAAAACAGCATGGACTATTGCATTTGGTGGGGTTGCAATGGGTAGCATGAAGGCATAGGAACAAGTCACTGTCAACGGCAGCATCAGGTATAACGGATGAACGCCCAATTTGGTGGCCTGAAGAATTGATGAAGTGCAAGATAATTTATTCCTGATAATAATGTACAACAAAAATATACAAATTTAAAAATTTTAACGCAAGATATACTTAGAGAATTACAGTGGGACCCCCACATGCAGACACCTCAACCTGCGGACAATTTGACATAGGGACACTCATTTTCCCATAAAAAATTAATAAAAAAGGCCCAACAAGAGGACACTGACTCAAAATAGGGAAATTTTGTGAAACCATTGGAAATTAATATCAGACCAAATTACAAGAAACAGATATTTCCAACCCTAAAATTGAAGTAAGAAAAGTTCTTGGGTATATCTCTCACCATTTTACCACCCATTTAGCTAATTAAAAAAAATTCCTCCAGCTCTACTTTTTTTCACTTGAATTTTATTTTTGTAAATGCAAACATTTAAATGTACAGTACAGAGATACACGTACTATTCAATGCTCCAAATGTTCTTATTGAGTTGAAAATGTATTCACTAATTCAAATTCAAGTGGCAGACAATTTTTTTCAGGGAATTGTGAAGAATATTTCTTCCATAAAACAACAATTAAAAATTATACAATGTAAGTCTAAGGGAAAAGAAGGCTCAACTTTGGGACAATTCAACTTAGAGACACTCTTGATGCACCAATTATGTCCACATCTTGGGGTCTCACTGTATATCAGAAATTGATATAATTTCTTATATAATTTTGTAATCCTCTAACTTCATTTTAATATGATCCAAACCTATTATTTAACCATTCACACTAACATCTATATATGAAATAAACATTGCTTTCTGTTGACTATAGGTTTCAAAGCACTGTGAGCACTGAAACCGCTTCAATAAATTAAATTCATTAAAATCTCTCTCAAAATCAGCGCGTGTCATGTAGAAACAATTTGAAGGAACAGGGGAGATTTGTTGGGGACTGCCAAAGCCAATTTAGTACAATATAAAAATCCTCCCACATCCCAAAAACTGGTCCTTCAGTGGGAGCCTCATAACATAAATAAAACCCAGTCCAAAGGACTGATATGACAATGCAAAGTATCCTCTTCCATTAAAAAAAAATATTTTTTTTGTCCTCTCTCTCTTCTCCAACTCAGCAAATTTTTCCATTCCACTGCCAATTCTTAAAGTGCACATAGCTCAAAACTATGCATTGAATCCTATCTGAATTTATATTTGTTTTGAGTGAAAGCATTTGAGTGTGCGTTCCAAAGTTCTCCAAGTCGAATAATGTTGTGTACGGACAGAATAAACCTTACTTCTTTTGGAGCCTATATACAGAGGCTCCCAGCCAGTCCCAGGCTGATTGTTGGGTTTTATTTTAAATTCCAATCATTTTTATTTGTTGAGGATAACATCTAATCACCAACACAAGTTGCCAGTAAAATTCAATGGAAGAGTGCATTCTTTTGGACTGTATAGACTTATGGTTGCATTCTTTTATAAATCTTACTGAATTATCTGAATAAGGGCAGTACTGAGATGAATAGTGATTTAATGTGGCATTTTGTTGATCAGCTGTTGGTCCTACATCACTTCAAATTAACGTCACAATACTGGAGGATAAATTTAATCAATATACAGTACGTCTAAATAGGTATTGTGCACTGACACGCTGGTTTATTGGTACATACAATAATTGAAAAACCATGGATTGGTGTCAAGAATTACCAAGTCAGGGATGGCAGGCAACAGGATAGCAGCAGTGGCAGTGTTGGACACTAGCTCTGTCATGAAAGCTGTTGCAGTTGTCAGGATCAGCAGCACCACAGGTGGCTGAAGTGAACTGAGGAGAGCCAATGTGTCACCAATCCAGTTGGCAAGACCACTGGTAGTGCATGCTTTTGACATTGCAAAGCCTCCTCCTGAAACATTAAAAAATACCCTTACAGAGCTGAGCATGTATAGTGTGGTTTGACCTTGTCCATCAGTCAAAATTTTTCTCAATTTAAATTTCCTGTTAATCCTTATAGCTGACCAATGTATGCACTCAAAACCAAAAGTAATGAAACCTCTCTGACTCAAAGCTATTTCTGTAAAACCTCCATATACAGGTATTACCTCGCAATTCAACCCTAATCCATTGCCAGACTAGGGTCAAAACTTTTGAATCAGTCCAATTGCTAGACACTCCATGAAATTTAAAAATATAAGTTTAAAAAATTCAAAAAAGTGTGTCAAAGCAGGTGAAATTGCTGAGCAAGGGTTGAATTGAAAGTCAATCTCCTTGCAAATTTGACCATGGAATTACAGGATGGTCAAATTGCAGGAGGGTGAATTGAAAGGTACCACCTGTATTTATTTGATTTAAGAGCTTTTTCATTGGATTGAAAGTTCTGCAACTCAAATTTAACAAGCTGTTCCAGACAAAAAAAAACACACACAATTTTTTTATTTAATGCTCTCCATAAAGGATTAGTCATCCTCCTGCGCAGGTAGGAAATGTGTTTGCATAATGAACAGCTCCTAAAAATTACCAAAGTACACAAATGAAGCCAAATTCTCTAAATGGAAACTCTACAAGGATAACTTTTGGAACCCGGTCCAAATTCGATTTATACATAAACTCACTTATATTATGCACTGTATTGTACTGTATTTATAATGTATCCAGTATAAACGAATAAATATGTACTGTAATTGCTAGAGTTCCATGCGCCCTCAGTTCTGAAAGACTTGCATCTGAAATTTTCAACCTAAAATTTGAATAAAATGTATTCCAGAGTACAAAGCGCACCCCAAAAACTGAAAATGTGAAAATTTTAAAAACGTCAGAATTAGTATTTTGATTGAAATTGCCGTCAAATTGAGTACTAATTTATCATCATTTCCAAGTTTTAAACGGTCTGTGGAAATGTGTTGAAAATTCCGTGTTAAAATCATGCCTGAGGTGTACTAAAATTTTTATTATTTTTTTATTATACCTACTGCCTAAGACGCTCATCCAATTTAAAACTCTTAATTTTTAAAAATAGGTAAAAATAGGTGCTTGAGTGACTGTCACCTATTTTTAATAGAAATTTGAATCCTCCAGAGATTTGAATCACCGTATTTACTTGAGTACCATGTGCGCATTTTTCAAGGAATTGAAGCAAAAAAAGTGAGTCTAATGTATTTGGGTACAGGTGTACCTTGCAATTCAACCTCCTGGAATTCAACCATCCAACAATTTGACATTTGAATTTGCTTGAAGGTTGACTCACAATGAGTCATATATATATGTATATATACATATATATATATATTTCCACAACTAAACATGAAGTTGCCTTACTCACCTAATAATATTATCACATTCCACGCCAATTTATCATGCACGCTTCTCCACTCCAACAGCTTCCGATGACTGGGTTTTCGTCTGGCACCAGACGCTAGACCATCATTGGAGGAAAATGCACAGAAAATTATCAATTCCATATCGGTGAAATCGGATATTCGTGTCATATTTTCAGTGATGTATATATATATACAGTACAACCTCACCTTTACAGAACCCGAAGTCTGGTTTTGCTGGTGTGGCGAACAGGAATGCCACGATTAAAATTGCTGGAGTGGCGTCACTCACGCTCCTGTGAAATAAATTTGCGACGCATTATTTTTGATTCGTGCATCCTACACAAAAGGAGTCTGACACTAACACAGAAAATATATCCGACCAACCCCGAATGAACCCGGGTTCCCTGAGAACCCAGAGAATGATGAGGACGATGAAGGAAATTCCGGTCGTCATTTCGGCGAATGAAATCGGTCCGAGTGCGTCGAACTTTTGCCGTAAAACTGCTCCGATTCTTTTGGATTCGTCATCCGTGTTTGGCTCAATTTGCTCGAGGTCATTTTCAGAGATATTCGAAGAACCCGAAGTGGGTTTTGACCTTTTAAACGGCAACGGCAACCTGTGTTTTTCCAAGAGGAATTTCTAAAACTATTTCAAGTTCAAACGGAATTCATGTTAACGAAATCCGAGTATAATATACCCTATGAAAATCATTTGAAGCCAGATCCAAGCTATGAAAAGGTTCAGCAACATTCCAGGAATATTGAAAGCCATCCAAGTCGCGAAATTCAAATCTGTTTTTCCATACAAGCTGTGAAGCAGGTGAAAACAGGATATCTTTTTAAAATCATGATCCTATAGTAGAATTATCGACACGTACTTGTCCAAAATCCCCATGAGAACCAAGTTTGGGGCTGTGCTTGTGATGGCCCCTGTTCCTCCCAGATTCGCCGAATATGCCACAGCAAATAAACAGCCGATTCTTGCATTTTGTAGCATTTTTTCTGTCTTTTTGTCGTGTTCACGCCTGTGAGAATAAAGATTTAATCATCAAAGAGGTTTTCTGAACAGATCGAGAAACATTTTGTGACACTTACTGGGAAGAAATATTTGTTGTGAGTCAGATTTTTCCAATATCTTCTGATATGGTTTTGAATTGTACACATATTTTTCGCTGAAAAATGGGGTACCCCTCTTCTGAATAAAGGGATACATTTTTGACTATTCTGCTGCCAAAAACAAGTGTGTGTGTATTTTGCAACAGTTTATGGTACTCAATACAAGTTGTACCTTGCAATTTGACTCCTGCAATTAAATACAGCAGTTGAATTTGCAGGGAGGTTGACTTGCAATTTGACCAGCTTTGGCCATTTTTTTGTGTTTTTGTACTTGCATTTTTGAATTGCAGGAAGTGTCTTGCAATTTGACCAATTTGCAATTTGACCCTAGTTCAGCAACAGATCAGGGTTGAATTGCAAGGTACCACCTGTACTACCTTGGATGAGGTACAGTACATTGTGTTAAAATACAGTTAAATCTCTCCTAGTAAAAATCCCAGAGATTCACCAACTATACCAAATTCAGAAGGTTTTGAAGTTGGGCAATGAGCATTTTTGCAGCAACAAAAATTAAGCATTAAATAAAGTTGAATTTGGCAACATTCTGCTCCTAAAACTAATTTATTTTTGAGTTGAGTGGAGACCAATAAAGTGTGAAGCAGGGGTAAAATGTCCCAGTCACTCACTTATTTTTGAAAAGGCCAAATACAATTTTATATTGTTTTTCTCTTTTCTTGGAACCCAGAATAATAGACCAAATGCCTCCAGAGATTTGAATCACTGTATTTACTTGAGTACCATGTGCACATTTTTCGAGGAATTGAAGCAAAAAAAGTGAGTCTAATGTATTTGGGTACAGGTGTACCTTGCAATTCAACCTCCTGGAATTCAACCATCCAACAATTTGACATTTTAATTTGCTTGAAGGTTGACTCACAATGAGTCACAATTCAACCTCTTTCCTGAAATTTGACCTGTTTTAGCCTCTTATCTAGCGTTTTTGTGCTGTTTGCCCTTGATTTCATAAAGTGTCTTGCAAATTTACCATTTTGCGATTTTACCCTAGTTTGGCTACAAATTAGGGCTGAATTGCAAGGTACCACCTGATGTATCAACTTTTGAAGGATATGAGTCAGGGAAATCAGTGCACAGCACACAAAAGTCCTTGTATTTAAAAAATAATAATAATTAAGAGCTTAGCATTTAGCTTCCTTTTCCAAGAGAAAAATTAAATAAAAAACATAAAATTTTTCCAGTTGAAGACTCAAGTGGAAGGAAAGAAAAGAGAGAGACTATTCATTTCAATAATTGATTAAGCCATGAATTGCAAGCACAGTTCAAGCAATAGTAAACAGAAAAGACACGCTAATAATTCAGAAAAATAATGGATCCAATTACAAAAGATTTAATATTTTACCATTTTTGATTTCCGCAAACAAAAACTAGGGGCGCAGGTCTGACAACGCGGAGATACGTTTCTCGACAAAAAATTAACACAAAACACTGGAGTGCAAGCACAAAAAAAAAAAGAATACAGCATAACACAGTATAAGGAAAACAATCAATTTCTTAAAACCTTCGTTCAACTCACGGCTGCTTGCTGACCTCGTTTATTTCGCTCATGGAAATTGTCTCTGACTCGGTGGCTTTTTCGAATAGGTCATTGGTTGACGCGTCAACGTCCAGCACAGCTACGGGATCTTGGGAAATATTACGCGGGACGATAATTCTCTGGATAAAAAAATATAATTCGTATCGTTTCATAAAAAGAAAATAATTCGAAAATAGAAAATAATGAACTTGCTTTGTGAAAGAAAACTTCTTCGAGAACGGCTTCGACTATCGGAACCATCATGGCGGTGGTCGCAGTGTTGGAAATCCACACCGACAAAAAGCAGGTGCAGCACATGAATCCCAACAATACCCTTTCAAAATACCCAGCCGGTTAAAAAAAAAAAACAAGATGTAAAATCTTTAAAAGAATAATGCTGAGGTTATCTCACCATCGCAAAGTTGTACCAGTCCACAGAACGATTCTTAAGGCAATCCGTTTGTGCAAATTCGAGTCTTCAACTGCTATTGCAATCATCAGTCCAGCTTTCAAAACGCAGAAAAAGTAAACACATTTTGAAGACAAAAATCGAATAAAAAAGCATGAACAACAACAGGCTGCAACAAATAACTCAGACTGTCCTAATTTCCAAACTGGAGCAAGGATAATGACATGATTGACAAAGAAAATCTTAAATACCCGTTTTTTCTCTAAAAAATCAGAGGGGAAATGTTAATTTTTGGGGTGGGGGAATTAATAACACACTATATTTTTTTCAAATTTTCATTCCAAACTCAAAGTCTGTGAGGCAGGTCAATTAGATGTCACCCATCAAGGTATGGCTCACATACCACAAGTCAAATGTGGTGCACCTTATGCAACAACAAGGCAAAAATACAAACAAATTTCAAACACAAAGAAAAAGCAGTGGAATAAAACCCTGACTAACATATCCAGGAAAACCTTCAGAAAATCTCCCACACAAGTGAATCACCAAATGATCAAAATAATTAAACTAAATTACAAACCCTACAAGTGAATCATTCTTCATCAGAAAGCCTTGGACAAACTTTCCACTATATAAGAGGGACCTGAACCTGAGCAGAATCACTAGAATTGAACATCACAATATTCTCTGAACCTGGCAGCTGTCAGCACTGAATTCTGTGTCTTGTGAAAGAAAATCCGACTTTGCAGGAAAAAGAACGCAATTGTTTGTGAGGAGTTTGACACCTCAGGCTGCAAACAGCAAATTGAGCATTTTCATTTTTTTTTTAAACCTGATTCTTTGTCAGAAAGGTGTCTGCATGGGACCCCTGGCAGTTTCAGGCTGTTTCAATTCACTTCTCCTCAATTATTATACATGATATCCTATTCCAGTGTTCCCAACCCCTGGTCTGCAGACTGGCGCCAGTCCTCAGAAATTGTTTGCTGGTGTTGGAAATTTTATCAGCAGAATAAATTATTTAGGATGAAGTCTGCTCTCTTTCCTTAAAATGTTGCAAGGACAATGGCAGTTGCATTTTCTGATTGAAACTAAATTGGCTTTTCTCCTGATAAAACTTCAGAAAAATTTTCATTTGATGAAATACATTATTTTTATGTTTCATTCTGAAAAACCTTTCTCCAAGCCCAACTTTCTAATTGCTTGATGAAATTCTCAACTGAATTTTTCTTGTGAATACTTGGCTTATAACATTCAAGCAAAACTTTGGTGAGTCTGCAAAAATTGTATAAAACTTTGCTGGTCTGCAGAAAATGTTTTGGGAATTTGCCGGTTCCCACATTTTTTTTCCAGTCCATGGGCCCAAAAAGATTGGTAAACACTGTTCTATGAGGGTTCTAACAAAAGTTCTCAGAATGAAAATGAAAATAGTGTCTAATCAAGCTGAAAAAACATTATTCTTTAGGGAAAACATATTCTTCTGCACAAAAAAATGAACTCTGTTTTGACAATTTTTTTTATGTTTTGCAAAATTCACCCTGGCAGAGTTTTGCAATCCACTCAATAGATGAGGCGCCCTTCCTGCATTTTTTTTTTGTGGCCCAGCTTTCCCCTCAGAATTCTTGAAATCAATGTGGCAATAATTCCAAGGGTTGCCTCCAGGTCTTCCAAGGCAATTCCGCCATTTTTATCGACAGCCGCCTTCACAGCCGACACATTGGCCCCAATGTGGCGGGACTTTTGTTGGAACTTCTGTTAGATCCCTCGTATTCCACCATTTGTCTAAAAATTTCACTTATTGGACTGAAATCACAGAACTGACAACTCCGAGGCTGTGATCAGCAATAAACTTTTCTGCAATGATAATTTATGTTTTTCAAGCAAAACGGGAAAGTATGTGAGATTTAATTTGTAGTTTGTTGGTCGTATTTGCGTCTCTCTCTCTCTCTACTTTCATGTGAAATTCACGAAGACCTAGAAAAGCCTTACCTAGAAACAACATGTTGGATTGGTTGAAGTAAGCGTCACATATGTCTTTGGTTGTAGACACACTTGTGAGAGGGAAGAGAAAGACGGGCAGCAAGGCTGTTGCTGCCAAAGGCATCACTTCCGTTGCCCAGAAAACCCCCATCGTCAACATGCCCCAAGCACATCTTGAAGCCTGCAATTCACAGGGCAAAATTGAGAAATCTTCAGCTTTCTTTTTTTTTTTTTT